GGCTCCCACCTGCTCCAAGCCGTTCTCCGATGCCTTTCTGCGGGGAGGCCAGATCACCGCCAGCTTTCCATCGCCCCTGCTCGCTGCGGGGGAAGGGGCACTCAGCCGGGGTTGCCCCTCCTGTCACCAGCTGGAGGCGGCCAGCACCAAGGAGACCGGCCGCGCCCCTTAAACACACAGGCGTTTACCCTCCTTCCCATGGAGGCCTCCATTCCGGAGGAGGGAGCAACCTGAAGGAGGGAGGCGAACCCAGAATGGGGAGGTGGAAACCCGCAAATTCACAGGGAGCATCCAGGAGTGTCAGAACCCAGGCAGGTTCCCTGGAATCCGATAAAGACATCTAGAATCCTCCTCCCTTCCTCCCACCAAAGCCTAGGTGAGATGTGTCCAGGAGTCGACCATTCAGAATAGGGCGTGGAGCACAGAGAGAGAGCAGCCCTAAAGGGGTGGGGCAGTGAACGGAGAGTTGAGAGAGGGCCCCAGGAGTCTGGGAGCCCCAAGGAGGTACCCTAAGTGCCAGAAGAGAGGCTCCTGGAGTTGGGCAGTTGGTGAGGGCGGCTGGAGCCCTGAGAGTCCCTAGAGTGGGGGCGCGCGTGGCTTACCCGTGAGGCTCGGCGCGGGCTCCTTGAACTCAGCGGTGCCGTAGACGCTGAGCCTCTGGCGCTGCAGCTCCCGCTCGCGCTCATGCACCTCGCGCACCTCCTGCTCCAGCAGCGACGGCGCGACCCGCGGCGGGGCACGGGTCAGCACCGGGCACCGGCCTTGCACGGCCAAGCGAGGCCGGCCTCCGGGATCCGGCAGCCCCTGCGGGCCCGCGCCGCCTTCCTCCGCCGGCGAGGAGCCGCGTCCCGCGGCGGTCTCAAAGAATCGCTTGAGCTCGCCCAGCGGCTGCGGCGGCGTCCGGGCGCACTGCTCTGGGGCCGCGGGACGCGCCAGCGCCGCCTGACGGTGGGCCTCCCGCTCGATGTCTCGCTGCATTTGCGCGCCCGCCCGCGCGCGCTCCAAGGCGCGCGGGAGCGCGGGGCCCGGGCCCGGCAGGCTGAGCACCGGTCGCACGCGCAGCTCGACGAGTTCTCGGCCGGCGCGGCCTGGGCTCAGGCCCCGGCTCCGGCGCAGGCTCTCCTCGCGTTCGCAGCTGCGGCGGATTTCTCGCTCAATGGGCGTCTCCATGAGCGGCTTCCCGGGGACCGGTTGGGGGGTCTCGGGGCGCAGTAGAAAATGCAGCAGGGGGGCTTCCGAGTCTGACCCCGAGGAGGAGGTCTCGGGACACTGAAGAGGACAGTGCTTCGGGACCCCCGCGCTTCGTGCTTCAGACGGCTCGGGGTTGTCGTCGCCTGTCTCGAGACTCTCAAAACCCCCAGCTGCGGATGGCCCGGGGCGTTCTGTGTCCAGCCCCGCTGATGGCCCAAGGACTTCACTCTCTCGCTCAGGGGTCTCCGCGCCCTGCTCCGCGGAGAGCACGGAGACCTTGCCTCTTGGCCTGGGTACGTCGGCGTCCTGCTCTGCGGCAGGCCCCGGGACTTCGATGTCTGACCCGGGGGGCTCGGGGCCCCGAGCTTCGGACGACCCCAGGGCTCCGCTCTCCGGCCCGGGGGCCTCGGTGTCCAGGGTTGGGAGCAGTTCGGAAGCCTTAGTTTCCAGAGCCGGAGTTTTGATGCTCAGAGCTGAGACACGGTGCCCTGCGCAGCACCTGTGGCATAGTCACCGCCCGCGGGTTCTAAGGCGTCGCCTACCTCAGCCGCTTCTCTGACCCGCCCCTGGCCTCCGAGAACGGCCCCCGGGGACAGGGCCGGGCACCGCCCCCTGCACCTGCAGGAAAGACTTGGGCCCCGCCCTGGCCCCGCCCTCGGGGCGGGGGCGCCCCGGCAGGGCACTGCATTTGGTTCACTGACGCGCCTCAGGTCAGCTCAGGGCACCAGACTTCTCGTAGGAGGGCTTCCCTAGACTTGGCCCGCCGGCTGGGGGACAAGTCTGGGTGCCGTTCCACTAACGGGGCGCCACCCTGGCACCTTTTCGCCCTCACGTCCCCGGCATTCCCGGGAGGCTTGACCCCAACTCTGTCCTGGGTCGGGTGTTTGAACCTCCGGCTTTCTGGTGCCGGTGTGCTCCAAAGCCATCTTTCCGAAGCCTTGCTAGCCCCGCCCAGACCAGCGGGCAGCAACGCCCCTGGCCCCCGGGCTGTCCATCCACGTTCCACCCCTGCAGCGCACAGCTCAGACTGAAGGGGGCGCCAGGAGCTCTCTCATGGCGCGTCGCAAGCTCTCCCGCCCAGTGCCTGGGCTCCACTAGGCTTCTTCCGAGAGGTGTACCCGCCGCTCGCGTCAAGCCTGAGGCTGCTTCCCCGCACCCCTCCTGGAAGAGTCCGCAAGGCGTCCGCGGCCAAGTGCACTTCCAGACTGAGGGAAGAGGGACGGACAGACCCAGCGCGCCCGTGGCTTGGAGGAGCAGCTGCGGTTGAAAGGCGGTCACCTTGGGCCCAGACGGCTGGGAAGGCCCGGAGAGGTATCCAGGCTTGCGGTGTGGAGCAGCTCTCCGCAGCTGGCGCCAGATCTTGGCGTTCAGAGGCAGCAGGGTCGACGCCCCCGCGCCGACCCACCCCCAAAGACATTTTCCACTCTCCTCCCCCAGGCTCTCCCCAAATCTGTCCTCTGGCCCTACTCTACCGTTCTAGGGTGACCAGGAAGAAAGAAATAGTTACCTAGAGAAAGGTTGGGGGGGGGGGTGGTTGCTGAACAGCCTGGGAGCCTCCAATAATCCAACTACCCAATCACTCCTTCCCCCAGCTCTCCGCCTACTCTGGTGACTCCCCTCCTTCCCCTGGATCCTAGTCTCAAGCTCCTCCCTCTGACCCCTTTGGCCTAATTGGAATTGGGCCCAGCTGGGTTCCGTCCCACGCAAAACCTCCGCAAGGTACCAGCCTTCGCCAGGGCTCAGTTCCCTTGTCTGTAAAATGGGCAGAGCGGTGTCCACTTGCTTGGGGGGGGGGGGGTCATGAAGATTAAAGCTTTACTTCTGGAAAGAGTTGTCTACAGCATTCTCTCGTCTTCATCGCCTCCTGTTCATGTTTGACAGCACTGACAAGGCTCTGGGTCCCACCACCCCACCGAGCCTTTTCCATCCAAGGACACGGATGGACTTCACTTGCCAGACCCTGGTTCCGGGTCTGACTTCCTCTTCCGTTAGCTCCTGGGTCTCTGAGGATGCCATCTTCTCCTGGTTTCCCTCTCAGGCATTTCTTCTCAGACTTCTGTTTCACCTGCATGGACAGGCTTCCTTTCCGCCCTGGCTTCCACTGGGGTTGGCTGATGGGAGAGGGGGAGTGAGGTCAGCGCGTTTATTCCATGCCCCTGCCCGTAAGCCACGCTGCTTGTGTCCCTCGCTGCTGGTAGTTACTCCACACAGCTCTCTCGCCAAGGCCAGTGCGTGGATACGGCCCCGGGCTGTTGCTAACAGAGATTGTTTCCCCAAATCTTTGTAAACCAACTCTTTTTTGGGGTGCCTGGGTGGCTCAGTCAGTTAAGCCTCCGATCTCAGCTCAGGTCATGGTCTCGCAGTTGGTGAGCTCAAGCCCTGCATCTGGCTCTCTGCTGTCAGCAAGGAGCAGGCTTGGTTTCCTGTCTCCCTGGCTCAGCCCCTCCCCTGCTTGCTCTCCCCTCTCTTCCTCTCTCTCAAAAATAAACAAACATTTTTTTTTAAACCTAACTCTTGACTGAGCTCTGATGAGTTACTCAGTTTGAGTATGCTATCTCTTTCCTGCCAGCACTCAGCCCCTGACCAATTCCAACCTCATACTTTATTTTTTTAAGTGTATTTATTTATTTTGAGAGAGAGAGAATACCAAGCGGCCTCTGCGCTTTCAACGAGGAGCCCAACACAGACTTGAACTCACGGACGGTGAGATCATAACCTGAACCGAAATCAAGAGTCCCAGGCTTAACCCCCGGAGCCACCTGGGCGCCCCCACAATCTCATACTTTAAACAACATCTCTGTGCTGGTGTCTCTCAAATCTCTACCTCTGACTTCTCCTCTGGGTTTAAAATTGGGTTTTTCGACGTTTATTTGTTTTTGAGAGACAGAGAGAGAGGGAGCGTGAGCGGGGGAGGGGCAGAGAGAGAGGGAGACACAGAATCCCGGGCAGGCTCCCGGCGTCCAGCTGTCAGCATAGAGCCCGACGCGGGGCCCGAACCCACGAGCTGTGAGATCATTCCCTGAGCCGAAGTTGGACGGCTCAACCGGCTGAGCCACCCCGGCGCCCCTCCAACTGAACATCTTCAAAACTGAGCTCTCGGCTCCCACCCCTACTCCAGCCCTGCTCTTCACCATGTGTGACAACTCATCCATTCTGTTTTTCATACCCCAAACCTAGGAATCTACCTCAACTTCTCTCTCTCAGTCCTGTTCCAATCCATCCTCATGCTGGATTGCTGTTGAATCTGTTGACTCTGCCTCCAAAACATATTCTGAATTCGTCCACTTCTCTCCACCCTAGTCCCAACCACTACACTGCCCTCTTCACTGAGTGGTGGCTCCCCACCCACCAACCAGAAAAACCCAGACTCCCCACTCTGACCCAGAAGGCCCTGCCCACTTCTCAGATCTCATCTTCTGACACTCTCCCTCACTCCTCCATTCCAGCCTTTGCGCTTCCCTCAAACCCCCAACTGCACGCCTACCTCAGGACCTTTGCACTGACTTGCCTTTCTTTCTCTGCTTGGAAGGACTCACCCCCTGGCTGGCTTCAGCGATGCAGGTCTTGACTCAAATATCACTTCCTTAGACAAATAGTCCCTGATCACCCACCCTGAGTCACACACAGCCCTTCTCCGTAACCCTAATCCTGCTATTTTCTGTGACTCACCCTATATGGCAGTTATTACCAATTGCCTTTATCTGTATATTATCGCTCTATCCTCGTCACCACCAAAAGTTAGCTGCATTACACCATTTTCTGTTTGCTCACCTCTAGACCCAACTACCTCATGCCTAGAACAATACCTGATACACAACGGTTGCTTAAGAATTCTTTAATCATACTTACCAGGCGCCTACCCCCGTGCTGGAAATAAAGAAACACATCAGACTGGGAAGGTACAGTTGAGTTTGGGAGACAGACCCGACTATAAATAGAACAATCTTGGGGCACCTGGGTGGCTCAGTCCATTAGGTGTCCAACTCTTGATTTCAGCTCATGTCATGATCTCACGATTCATGAGTTGGAGCCCCGCGTCAGGATCCGCACCGTGTCAGCGCAGAGCCTGCTTGGAAGTCTCTCCCTCTCTCTCTGTCCCTACCCCACGTGCACTCCCTCTCTCTCTCTCTCAAAATAAATACACTTAAAAAAATTTTTTTAAATGTGTTCTCTTATCATAGCAAATGTATTTTCAGAATGACTTAGAAGGCCAGGTTCAAACAAAAACATTTTGGATCCCTAGGAGTTTCGTACTAGAATGTGGGGCACAGGGAAACCCCAGCTCTCAGTCTGGCCTCCTGTACTTCTCCCTTTCAATGCTCTCCTGCATAGCAAGGAGGCTTGTGCCCGCACCGAGGAGGGGCTCTGAACCACGAGTCCCAGCTTTATCCTTACCCCTCTGCCAATAGCTGCCTTTGACCACTTCTCAGGCTGGAGGCAGTGGGGCGAGACACATCCTGGTTGTGGGGTCTGCATTCACAAGGCACAGAGGCCTTATGGGTGAGCTAAGGACCCTTTGGATAGGGAATTCTGGGGTCACCAGTACCCTGAGGAGAATCTGCAAGAGGGAGGGAGGAGTTAGGAAGGTACCTGACCTTTGCCACTCGGGGGCGGGGAGGGGGTCCTAGCTGGAGTGTGCCCTCTAGAGCAGGGAGCTGAGGGCAAGGATCCTTCTCACCGAGGCTTCTGTCAAGCTGCACAGCATGACCAGGGCTCTGATGAGGGGAGGACTGGGGGCTGTGGGAGACTAACCTGGAAAGCAGGAGATGAGTTCCCCAAGTGGCAAAGGGTAAATGAGGCACCCTGTCATTTGATAAAGGGTGTGCTGGCCCTTTAAGAACAGGATGGGGAGGGCGCTTAACAGTTGGTTAAGCAGCAGACTTTGACTTTGGCTCAGGCCTTGATCTCAGAGTTAGGCTTGTGAGTTCCAGCCCCACATTAGGCTCTGTGCTGACAGCATGGAGCCTGCTTAGGATTCTGTCTCCCTCTCACTCTATCTTTCTCTCTCACTCAAAAATAAACATTCAAAGAGAGAAAGAGAGAGAGAGAGAGAGAGAGAGAGAGAGAGAGAGAATGCACGTGAGTTGGGGAGGGGCAGAGAGAGGGAGACACAGAATCTGAAGCAGGTTCCAGGCTCTGAGCTGTCAGCACAGAGCCTGACGCGGAACTCGAACTCACCACCAACCGAAA